CCTTGGGCCCAATCACTATATATCTTTTTGCTGCAAATTTATTTGCAATTTTAGGCCCAACTGGAAAATTCAATTTGGATTTGGACTCGGGTTTTGACCCAACCCGAGTGAAATCTCTCCAGGTACAACGAACCTGGACACCTGACTCTTCATGTGAAGTAACAGCTCAGGTTAATGGTGATAATGGGGTTAATGGTGTTAACTCCTCCTGGTTAATGGTGTTTTAACACCTGAAACGTTTTTAGAATAATGGTGCCATTTATCTCAGCCTTAAGTGGCTTTGGTTCTCCCTGAGAGGTGGAAGTCCTATAAATAGGACATTGAGTTGTAGAGATAAAATACAACATTTTCATGCACTCTGATTATTCTCAAAGCCTCACGCATCATATCGTACTGCTCTGTTCTCGACTTCATTCCAGTTCGTCGGAGCTCGAATTCTGGTGTGCTACAGCGTTCGAGACGTAAGCCGTTGTATCTTTGGGGACGAGACGCCTGTACCCGTCAGCACTATACGGGGCGTTTTCGTCTTGCGGAAAGAGCAATCGCCTCGGCTATTTTCGCTTTCTCTTTTGTAATTTTTCGGTTTTTGTTTTAGTTCAAATTGTAAGAACTGAACACTTCAGTCAGTTCATAGGTTCCCGTTGTAAGTTCAAAACACACTCTGAATAACAATCGCAAGACGAAAATTTTGACCTACTGAACTGATGGCATCCACTGGAGAAGGATAAAAAACTCAACCACCTGTCACCCCCGCTGTTCATCATCCTCAACCTGCTGTTCATGTTCCCACTGTTGAGAAGCCCGAAAAATTCAATGGGCTTGATTTCAAGAGGTGGCAACAGAAGATGCACTTCTACCAGACCACTTTGGGTTTGGTGAAGTACCTGAAAGACGACCCTCCTGTCGTGGCTGAAAATGAATCGAATGCTGAGCTGCGAGCTGCATACGATGCTTGGGGGCAAGGTGATTACCTTTGCCGGAACTATGTCCTCAACGGACTAAGTAACGAGTTGTACAATGTGTATAGCTCGATTGGCTCTGCCAATGAGCTTTGGGCTGCCTTGGAGAAGAAATACAAAACGGAGGATGCCGGGGCGAAGAAATTCGTCGTCGGCAAATTTCTGGAGTTCAAGATGGTCGACACTAAGACCGTCGTGTCTCAAGTGCAAGAGTTCCAACTCATCTTGCACGACATTCATGCTGAAGGAATGTCTCTGAGCGAGTCATTCCAAGTTGCGGCTGTGATCGAGAAACTGCCGCCGGGTTGGAAAGACTTCAAGAACTACCTCAAGCACAAGAGGAAGGAGATGAGTCTTGAAGATCTGGTTGTTCGTCTTCGGATTGAAGAGGACAATCGGAAGTCTTCGGGGAAGGCCCCGATGATGGAAGCTCGTGCCAACTTGCTGGAGCAAGGCAACTCGAGCAAAAGGAAGCCCCTTAACAAAGGGAAGCAGCAGCCCGCCAAAGTGTGGAAATTTACCGGTAATTGCCACAACTGTGGAAAGCCGAACCATATGGCTAAGGACTGCAGGAAGCCTAAAAAGGCTGGACTGAAGAAGGCACAACATGGTGCCCTCATTGCTGAACACGGCCTTGTGCCGAGTGAACTAACCGACATGGATATGTCGGCTGTGGTGTTTGAAGCCAATTTGGTGGATAACCCAAGGGCGTGGTACATTGATACTGGTGCCACTCGCCACGTGTGTTCCGACAAGGGGTTGTTTTCTGAATACACTCCTTCAAATGGTCGGAAGCTCCACATGGGCAACTCCTCCTCGTCTGATGTGGCTGAAGTTGGCATTGTGGTGCTGTAGCTGACTTCTGGAAAGGAGTTGAAGCTTAAGGATGTGCTGCATGTCCCAGACATCCGCAAGAATTTGGTCTCCGGGTCTCTTCTTGTAGAGCATGGTTTTAAGTTAGTGTTTGAAGCTAAGAAGTTTATTCTTAGCAAGTATGGTAAGTTCCTTGGTCGTGGCTATCTCGACAATGGCTTATTTAAAATGAATGTAATGGCTGTGAGCCGTGTAACCGTTTCTAATGATAATGAAAATCGTACTTCTGTTTATATCGTGGAGTGTTCTGATTTATGGCATATTAAATTAGGACATGTGAATCTAAATGCAATTAAACGGTTGATGAACTTAGAGTTAATTCCTAATTCTAAAATTGAATCACACAAAAAATGTGAAATTTGTGTTGAAGCCAAAATGGCTAAATTACCTTTTCACTCGGTGGAAAGAAATACTGAACCGTTGGGTTTAATCCATACTGATGTATGTGACTTGAAGTTTGTGCAAACAAGAACGGGTAAAAGATATTTTATAACTTTTATTGATGATTGCACAAGGTTTTGCTACTTATATCTTTTAAGAAGCAAAGACGAGGCTGTGGAAGCTTTTAAAAATTATAAGACCGAAGTTGAAAATCAACTCGGCAAAAAGATTAAAATAACCCGAAGTGATAGGGGTGGGGAGTATGTAGCTCCTTATGAACAAATATGTTCTGAATATGGCATAATTCATCAAACGACGGCCCCCTATTCTCCACAGTCAAACGGTGTTGCGGAACGCAAGAACCGAACTTTAAAAGAGATGATGAATGCCATGTTGATAAATTCAGGATTACCCCAGAATATGTGGGGGGAAGCTGTTTTAACAGCAAATCATATTCTGAATAAAATACCACCTAAAGGGAAAAATGAGACTCCTTACGAAATGTGGAAAAATCGTAAGCCGTCTTATAAATACCTGAAAGTGTGGGGGTGTTTGTCTAAGGTTTCAGTTCCTGAACCAAAACAAATGAGAATCGGACCTAAGACGGTTGATTGTATTTTTATTGGATATGCATACAATAGTACTGCATATAGATTTCTGGTTCATAAATCAGAAAATCCGGAGGTATCGGTTGGTACCACTATTGAGTCGAGGAATGCTATATTCTTCGAGAATATTTTTCCTTTGAAGGAAAGGGAAGAATCTAGTTCTAACAAAAGAACGTATGAAACTGCTAGCGGTTCTGTACCAGATGGTACTAAAGATATAGAAGAAGAACCGAGACGTGGTAAAAGGGTAAAAACGGCAAAAACGTTTGGACCTGATTTTATTACGTACATGTTGGACGATGAACCGAGTTCCATTAAGGAAACTCTGTCTAGCCCAGACGGACCACTCTGGGAAGAAGCTATAAATAGCGAAATCGAGTCCATTATGCAAAATCACACTTGGGAGTTAGTTGATCTCCCTGCGGGTTGTAAATATTTAGGATGCAAATGGATACTAAAAAGAAAATACAAAGCTGATGGAACGATTGATAAATTTAAAGTAAGATTAGTGGTCAAAGGCTTTAAACAAAAAGAAGGGTACGACTTCTTTGATACCTATTCACCTGTGACGCGTATAGCGTCAATTAGAGTGCTTCTCTCTATTGCTGCTTTGCACAATCTTGAGATTCATCAAATGGATGTCAAAACGGCATTTTTGAATGGTGAATTAGAAGAAGAGATTTACATGGAACAACCCGAAGGTTTTGTAGCACCTGGACAAGAGAAAAAGGTGTGCAAATTGATCAAATCCTTGTACGGACTTAAACAAGCTCCAAAACAATGGCATTTGAAATTTGATGACGTGATGTTGTCAAATGGATTCAAAATCAACGAATGTGACAAATGTGTTTATGTTAAAAACCCATCAAGTACATATGTAATTGTATGTCTATATGTAGACGATATGTTGATCATGGGGAGTAGCCATGACGTGATCATGGATACGAAACGAATGTTGAAAAGAAATTTCGACATGAAAGATATGGGTTTAGCTGATGTAATTCTTGGAATAAGAATTATCAGAACCCAAGATGGAATTGTCTTGTCACAATCTCATTACGTAGAGAAAGTGCTCAAGAAATTTAATGCCTATGAAGGTCCTCTTTCTATGACACCCCTTGATCTTAGCGTAAATCTGGAAGCCAATAAAGGTCAACCAGTTGCTCAATTGGAATATTCACGGATAATAGGGAGTCTAATGTACTTGACGAACTGTACACGACCAGACTTGGCCTATCCGGTGAATAAATTGAGTAGATTTACGAGCAATCCCAGTCGCGAGCACTGGAATGCTTTGAAAAGGGTACTGAAGTACTTAAAGTACACCCTTGAATACGGGCTAAAATAGTCGAGATATCCAGCAGTACTTGAAGGGTACTGTGATGCAAGCTGGATATCGGATTCAAGAGATTCTCACTCCACAAGTGGATATGTCTTCTGTATCGGAGGAGGAGCTGTTTCGTGGAAGTCCACAAAACAAACTTGTATAGCTCGGTCAACCATGGAGTCGGAGTTCATCGCTTTAGATAAAGCTGGTGAAGAAGCCGAGTGGCTTCGAAACTTTTTATCCGATATTCCATGTTGGAATAAACCTTTGTCGCCTGTGATGATTCACTGTGATAGCCAAGCTGCTATAGGAAGGGTGCAAAGTAACATGTACAACGGTAAATCTAGACACATTCGTCGTAGACATAATACCGTTCGCCAATTGATCACAAATGGTATTATTTCCATTGACTACGTAAAGTCTAAGGAAAATTTGGCTGATCCTTTTACTAAAGGACTGAATAGAGATCAATTGGGAATACTGCTAGAGGGAATGGGATTAAAAATCCACAATGAAAAGAATGATCATAGTGGTAACCCTACCTTGCTGAATGGAGATCCCATAAACTTGGTTCAAGGGGAAAACTAAACTATGAAAATTCAACGGAACACTTGGAACATTAGAGTGTCCTAATCTATTCCCTAAAAGCAATCCAAGTGCAAGATTACCTGTTGATTGTGGTGAGGGTAAGTCATCTGGACTTTTAATGAATCCCTAACCTTTTAAAGGTGGAGTATTACAGGATACTCTTGACAGGGAGGTCACCTATATAAGTGTGAAGTGAGGGCCGCTTCAATTGTAAACACTTATGAATCCAAAGTGTTGTCCATGGCCAAAACGGACACAACAATAGAACGGAATGGAGTTAAGGCTCTATTGTGTGAATGTCATTGTCTTGGTGTACACTATGGAGGAATAGTTCAAGGCACTATGTCCACTAAGCCGCCAGTACATCCGATGATGTTTACTAAAAAAGGTTCAAAGCCACAAGCTACCTTTTCTGATTAAATAGAGTCTTGTGAGGATTGAGCACAAGAGTCTGCATACATGCATACATTTGACTTCCACTCATGTGGGGGATTGTTGGAAAAATCAGTTGTAAAACTTGGGTTTGACCCGGTTTTGACTAAATTTTTGATGGCTAAATATTTAATTTTAGTTGAATTAAATATTGTAGAAAAATTCTACGTTCCGAGTAGATACTCGTGGTATATTTATTTTCTCAAAACTGATTTTCGGTGAGTGAGAAATAAATTGTTAAAGTTAGCCATAAAAGGGCACGTAAAACGTTGGTTGTGGGATTTGAAGGGTCAAGAGTTAAATCCCACATTGGACTCTTAAATGAGTTTAACTCTCTTTATTATAATAAAGAGAGTTGGAGAGGTTACAACAAGCACAAAGCTATGCACCAAGTGTTGGTGTTGTTTTCGGCCACACGCGCGCACGCGCGCGCCCGCCGGCCGGCTCGGGCTCGGGCTCGGGTCCGGGCATGGGACTTGGGACTTGGGACTTGGGCCTTGGTCCTTGGTTCTTGGCAATTGGACTTTGGGCTGGACTTGGGCGGTTGGGCCTTGGGCCTTGGGCCCAATCACTATATATCTTTTTGCTGCAAATTTATTTGCAATTTTAGGCCCAACTGGAAAATCCAATTTGGATTTGGACTCGGGTTTTGACCCAACCCGAGTGAAACCTCTCCAGGTACAACGAATCTTGACACCTGACTCTTCATGTGAAGTAACAGCTCAGGTTAATGGTGATAATGGGGTTAATGGTGTTAACTCCTCCTGGTTAATGGTGTTTTAACACCTGAAACGTTTTTAGAATAATGATGCCATTTATCTCAGCCTTAAGTGGCTGGTGTAACCTTTGGTTCTCCCTCAGATGTGGAAGTCATATAAATAGGACATTGAGTTGCAGAGATAAAATACAACATTTTCATGCACTCTGATTATTCTCAAAGCCTCACGCATCATATCATACTGCTCTGCTCTCGACTTCATTCCAGTTCGTCGGAGCTCGAATTCTGGTGTGCTACAGCGTTCGAGACGTAAGCCGTTGTATCTTTGGGGACGAGACGCCTGTACCCGTCAGCACTATACGGGGCGTTTTCGTCTTGCGGAAAGAGCAATCGCCTCGGCTATTTTCGCTTTCTCTTTTGTAAATTTTTCGGTTTTTGTTTTAGTTCAAATTGTAAGAACTGAACACTTCAGTCAGTTCATAGGTTCCCGTTGTAAGTTCAAAACACACTCTGAATAACAGATGTGATATAAAAGTTTATGACACGATATTGAAAGTGATAAGTAATATCAGCAGATGAATAATAAATTAAAGTTGACGTGACGTATGAGAATAATTTATTAATATTATTTAAATATATTAATAATATTGATTATAATCTGATTAACTTATTTTTTTAACTTAATTTTGAGTTAGAAGTTTGAAAACTTACATACAGCAAAAATTCGAGATTTTAAAATAAATTAAAATTGATTTTATCTCATATTCAATCAATTTATTGATGAAAATTCGAGATTTTATTATTTTTTTTCACCATAATTATATATCAATTCTTCTTAATCCATACCATAGTTGAAGATTTTACGCTACTTCGGTAACCACCTCTAATGAAAAACTTCAAGATTTTTACGCAACTTAAAAAGTAACAACCTCCTAAATCATGGGTATCAATTATTATCATGGAGAAAATCGATCTATTTATTTTCCAATTATTAATTATTATTAGTATTATTTATGGAAAACAAACAGCTGCCTGATATGGTCGGAATAAAATAAAATCCTGTGGACACCGAGGCACGCAAGACACGTGTCACCATCGCACACGCCACACCCTTCGCGCCCACAATTAAAGGTAAACCCCACTAAGCGGCCCACGGACATGAGAGGCCCATATAAAATGGTCCCCCCACGTGTCAAAAACCGGGCAGAATATGGGACTTTCAGACCGGCCAATAGAAACCCGCCATCTCCCCCCTTCCCTCTATATATTCGCACTCACAGCATCAGGTTCTCTCTGCCCGGGGGCAGCTAATTAAAAAAAATAAAAAAAGCAGAGAATAATTATAATTAATTTCCTGCTAATCAGGCAATTAGTCTCAGTAATCGAGATGGCGAGGAGCGTCGGGGAGCTGCCGGAGGAGTGCCTGAGCCACGTCGTGTCGCTGACGTGCCCGCGGGACGCGTGCCGGTCGTCCGCCGTGTGCGGGGCGTTCCGCGACGCCGCGGATTCGGACCTGACGTGGGAGAAGTTCCTGCCGTCGGATTACAGGGAGATCGTCTCGAGGTCGGTCTGCCCGCCGGAGTTTGTCTCTAAGAAGGAGCTGTTCGAGAAGCTCTCCGCCGCCCCGCTGCTCATCGATGGCGGCAACAAGGTAAATTTAATTTCATTTTTTTTTTTTGTTTTAATTTTGAATTTTTTTTTAAAGAGAAGTACATGAATCTCTGCGGAAATTTCGGAATTGTGGTTTCCTAATTGTTGACCAGGTGATTGTAATTTTGACCCGTCGTTTCTGATTTAGGTTCCGTGTACAGATTTAACTGAATACTGCTATAATATTTTCAGACTCACAGTATCTTGTTATTATTACGTATCTTTGGATAATTAAAATATAGTAATACATATATGGTACTTTGAGTAACAAATGTTATGTTCATTGATAATAATAATAATAATGAAGGATTTGTTTTATGCGATTTTTGTCAAATTACGAAGGAGAGGTAGACCAATAAACTAGTTTATAGTTTATTTGATTAACTTATAAGCTTTTTGTATTTAAATTAACTCCCTTTGGTAGGACGAGCTTATTTGATAAGTTTCTTTTGTTAGCTTTTCAAATAAGCTCGTTGAAATTTTTATTTCAGCTAGCTTATCAGTTAATTTTACCAAATGCTTGTATCATATAAGCTAGCTTTTCAGCTATAAGTCATAAGCTATAAGTTCGAAAATTACTAATAAATTATAAGTTAATTTATCAACTAATTTTACCAAACATAGCTTAAGTAGATATTTGGCGAATTAGCTGACACTAGTTTTTTTAAATTTTCTTTTAAAATTAACTCTTTTTAATTAACACAACAAATTTTAGTAGATTTTCCAATTTTTTTTTTTAAATTAATTCTTTTTAATAAAAAAATCAATCAAAACCAAAACATTATATCAAACGAAAACTTAGATCCAAACGACCCATGGTAGCGTGTTTGGATTTGGTTGGTCTGATGCACTAGGAATACTTGAAATGGCGCCCAATTGTTTGCAATGGTAATTAATAATGAGAGATTTTATAATTTTGACTTATAATCACAATACATCCTCCCTATATATAATTCCCGAATGCGCTGAGCCTACGTGGCTGTTTCTGGTGCTCCGGAATCCTACTTGGCGAAGAATCATGTTTCGTAATTAGGTTTGGACAAATAATATTGATATACTAATAATTAATAATTTAGGTTCGGACATTCTATAAATATTGTTTAGTTAACTTAGGTACTTTAATATCACCTTTACTAATATAATCCTTTAATTATTTGTAATTTTATATAGTGAGACGCTAAGTGATTAATATATCCCTGTCTTTTGATTTGTTTCCTTCAATTAGCTATTGAATTGTAAATGTATTTTAAAAGTTGATAACTTTTGTATTTCATATCGATTTTACATATATGATATATCAAATTAATCATCTTTTGATAATCTTCGATTTGATATCCATATTGTATATATGAAATAAATAAATTATATTTATCTTTATAATAGTAAAAAATAATAATATTTATTAAAAATTATTAGAAAAATAAAATTATTTATCAATTGATATATTTATGTTTAAAGTAATTATATATTGTAAGTTAAAAAAATTATTATAATATAGCACATGTAAGTCGCACAAATAAAAAAGTGTCATACTAAATATATAATAATATATATTTTTATAAAAGGTATTGAAATTTTTAATTAATTTTTCTCATTAATTTTATATTTTAAGATAAAATTAACAAGCACCCGTGTAATATATGAGTGTTACTCGTACAATAATACAACTAAAAGATTTCAAAAGTTTCATTTATTAATTTCCTCTTTCACAATCAACCAATTCTTTTTTTTTTTAAAAAAAAAAAAACACTCCACGTTTTACACAACACAAAAGGTCAAACATTGCCTGATGCCTCTCATGATATAGTAAAAAAATAAGCTGAAATAAAAAAAATTATCATATGACAGAATCCAATTTTAGAAAATTGGCTCTTTACATTAACTCCATGACAATAATTGAAGTAAAAATTGACACAATGCCAACAGTTGGTTTCGTGGAGTCAACTTTCTATATACAACAAGTAAACCTACCATATTCTCGGATTACTTAAATAACAATAATATAATTTTAATATGGTACAACTCTTATATGTTAACAGTAGGTTTATATGTTGTATATAGAAGATTAGTTTCACTGTGGAGCAACTGTTGGCTTCCTAGCAAAACCGATCTCCAAAAATCTTATGTAAGATAATCTCAATCTTGCAAGGAAAAAAAAAAAACCTTATTAAAATCTAAGTGATATAATAAAATATAATAAAATCTACGTGAGATTAAATTTTTCCTCCTCACTCATTTGGCATCTTTTTCACCTGTCTTTGGTAAAAATATATCATTTGGTAAAATGTTGTTGTTATCTAAGTCACTTTCTAGTTATGGAAAATCCAAGATGAATATAGTTATAAATGTAAGAAATTTTTGCTAAATGCAGACATTTTGTGTGGACAAATACACAAACAAGAGATGTTACATGTTAAGTGCAAGGGAGCTTTCAATCACTTGGTCCTCCAATCCCCTTTGCTGGTGCTGGAAACCCACCCACATGTCCAGGTAAATTACCACATAATCATCTCATTTTGAAATTAATCACTTTTATACATATGTAGTAATTTCATTTTATTTACACATTCTTCCTTCAGATTTCCGGAGTCCATCGAGCTCATATCGGTGTGTAGGCTCGAAATACTCGGGAAATTCGACACTCGGATGCTTTCCCCAAACACGACTTATGGAGCCTATCTCGTTTTTCAGATGACGAGTCGTGCTTTTGGGTTGAGCGCCTCGCCCTTTGAGGTCTCGGTTGAAGTCGGGGACTGTAAAAAAACGGGCAGATTTTACCTGAAGCAGGACGAGTGCAAGGGGCAGGAGGAGTCTGACGTGTCGCCCGGGGCCCTCAGCCCACGTGGCGACGGCTGGTCGGAGGTTGAATTAGGGGAGTTCTACGTTGGTGGTGGGGCCCAAAAAGAGGTGAAGATGGAATTTAAAGAAGTCAAGAGCGAGCACCTTAAGGGAGGGCTTCTCGTTGATGGCATTGAGCTCAGGCCAAAGCATTTCTTCTAAGGCAAACTGAAGGAAATTTTTATTTCCCAAATAAAAGAAAGAGAATTTTCTAAAGGGCCAAATGTTATGGAAGAAATAAATTTGGAATGGCAAGATAATATATTTAATAAGAAATATCATCCGTCTTTGCGCCGGTGTATTAAAATTGAACGGAGGCAATCTGTACCGGCATATGTCGATTCGGACAAGATTGTTGTATATGTTGCAGACCGTATACCGGGACCAAACTCAAATTCGAACCCCAGTTCGGGTTGAGTCACATAGCTTAAAGGGGTTGCTTAATTTGGGGTGAAAAAGAAAAAAAGGTCCTCTCAACATGAGTTGGTGTGGTTAGTTCTGTGTTTGTGTTGGTTAAGGCTTTTGGACAGTTGTGTTTGCCTGATTTTCTTGTTTTTGTATTTGTGATAAGGTTGGACGTTTCTTAGTTTTGAGTTGGTGGAGAATAGCGACTGTGTTTGAATATCATAATAGTTGTTTTGATTTTTCTTCTCTCTCTTTCTATTTTATCTTATTGTATTTTGTTTCTTTCTCTTGTCACCTTCATAGAGGGCCTCTTTTTTTTTTTTTT